TGGTGCAACTAATGAATCCTTGTGCAAGTACTTTGCTGATTTAATGAGCAGTGAGTTTGAGATGAGCATGATGGGGGAACTCAACTTCTTCCTTGGGCTCCAAATTAAGCAAACTAACGAAGGAATAATGATCCATCAGCAGAAATATGTGAAGGAGTTATTAAAAAAATACGGTATGGAAAGCACAAAGATAAACCACACTCCCATGGGAACAACCACAAGGTTGGACCAAGACCCCAAGGGAACTCGTGTGGATCAAACAAAATACAGAGGTATGATTGGTTCCTTGTTATATTTAACTGCCAGCAGACCTGACATTTCGTTTAGTGTAGGTCTTTGTGCTAGATTTCAATCGGATCCAAAGGAATCGCATCTAACAGCCGTCAAAAGAATTCTACGATACTTGAAAGGGACGGAAGACTTGTGTCTGTTTTATCCAAAAAGTGACTCGTTTGACCTAAAAGGATATGCTGATGCTGACTATGCAGGAGATTTGGTCAATCGTAAAAGCACATCAGGTATAGTCCAATTCTTAGGCTCCTGCATGGTTTCTTGGAGTTCCAAGAAACAAAACACTGTTGCTCTATCCACTGCCGAAGCAGAATATGTGGCTGCTGCTGCATGTTGCTCTCAATTGCTATGGATAAAACAACAGTTGCGTGACTATGGCATTATTTTAGAGTGCGTTCCTATTCATTGTGATAACACAAGTGCCATTTGCATTTCTAAAGATCCAGTACAACACTCTAAAGTTAAGCATATACATATAAGGCATCACTTTTTGAAAGATAATGTTGAAAAGGGCTTAATTAAGCTAGATTTTATTTCTACTGAATTTCAAATTGCTGACATTTTAACTAAGCCTTTAAGCAGAGACAAGTTTGAAAAGATGCGTGTGGAATTGGGGATGCTACGGCTCAAGTGATTTTTGTTTGGAACCCCTAAGGTAAAATCGGATGTAACTAACAATGCTACGCTCAATCTTGTGTGAATAACACAGCTGAAATTACCCAGGGGAAAGATTTGTGAAGTATTGAAAAGTCACTTATACATACTTTTAATATGTTAAAAGTATTGAGCCATGTTGTTTCAAGTTCCTTTTTCATCATTCTTTACTCTCTGTATCATGATCACGTAAATTATCATCATAATTTACAATCAATCTGCTCTCATTTATCTTTTTCGTTTTTTTTTATTTTTCTTCTTGTTATTTTCTTTCTTATCTTTTATTTCTATCTTATTTTTTATTCTTATCTTTTTCCTTCCTTATTTTTTCATGATGAATTTTTCTATTCCTCATAGAATTCAAAAATACAAAAAGATCTTATTTGCTACGTAAGATAAGAAGCATGTATATCAACTTCTTAACTTACGATTTTATTTTATCAACATTGAATTAGATGAGTGCAATTATTTCACCAAATTAAATCCTACTACCTCTAAAACTACCCCACTACCTCACAGTTTAAACCGTCACTTTTCTTTCTCACTCCTCCCCATTAAACTCTTTTTCTTCTTTTCACTCCACCTTCACCTATCAAATCAATTAAATTCCCCATACACTCCCATAACCGGCCTCACTCTCTCTCCTTCCTATTCACACTATTCATCTTCTCCTTCCCTTCATTTTATCTTCAACACCATGAAAACCAACCGAAACACCACCCCAAAAACCCGATCACCACCATTCAAACCCTCCTCAAACACGGGGTCTCCACAACCGGTGCCAATTGCGGTGGTGCATCCATCTGCTCAGCCAAAGAGGAAGGCTAAGGCTGTGAAGGGCGGCGACAGGAAACGGCGCGCAACCACCAAATTCCCATCATGGAATTACACTCTCGGATATCACATCAACTATGATTGGTGTGTGGCGAGTAAGTTCACTGAATTTACTTCTTTAATTGATTATCAAAAATGGACTCACTTGTTCCAGAATTGTTCTCATTACCCTGTTTATCCTAAATTTATTTATGAGTTCAAAAATACCTTTCAATGTGATAATGGTGTGTGCTCGGCCGTAGTTAATGATATTCCAATTTCGTTTGATGCCAATTATCTTGGAAATCTATTTCAAGTTCCTGTTAAAGGCTATTGTTCTTATTTAAAGCACAAACAATCTGTAAACATTGGCCATAATGATGAATGCAAAATCCTTCAATTTATTGGAGGAAATCCGAAAGTGAAAACTACTCACCATCATGCCCTAACACCCCTTCATAAGCTACTGTTTACCTTCACCTGGAAGGGTATAGTACCCCGTTTACAAAAACGGAGTACCGTATCACTCTTGGATGCCTCCCTCATATTCTGTCTTGCATGCAAAATACAGATTAATTTCCCTGCTCTAATGATTGAACACTTGAATTTTTATGCTCAAAAGACCACAATTCCATATGGCTCTTTCCTTACTGTGTTGTTCAAATCTTTTGGTATTGATGTTGAATGTGAATCCCCAACATATCTCAAACCCGATAATATCCTCTCTGAACAATCATTACTTAGACTGAGTCTTAGGCTTACAAATGGCAAAGTATGTTTTGTGCCTCGGAAAGGAGGGGAGAAAAAGAAAGGGAAAGGGAAAGAAGCTAAGGAAGAATGTGATGCAAGCAGTGACCAGGGTAGTGAGGAGGCTAGTGAGGGTGCTACCACCTCCAGTGATTCTGAGGGAGATAAGGAAGAAGAAAAAAGTTCTAACGGAGAGAAAAACAAAGAAAAAATACTTGAGGGAGATGTGCAAGGAGAAAAACAGGAAGATTCTGAGGGGGAACATATGGAAGTTTCTGAGGGGGAAGCTCGACAATCTGACTTACATGAGGGGCAGGGAACTGATCAAAGTGAGAGGGAACATACCACAGACTCTGAGAGCACAGCTGGACCACCTGTCATTCCTGTGTTTACAGGGGGCCTTAGAAGGAGTAAGAGGAATGTGGTCAAGCCTGCCCTTTCTACTACACACCCTGTGACTGTAGAAACCATCAGCTCCTCAGACAAATCTGATTCCACCTTCAAACCTACCCAAGTTCCCTCTTCCACTGAACCCTCTTCTATTCCTGTCTCACCTACTAGGCAGCCTTCTCATTCACCTTCTCCTCCTCCATTTCAGCCTACTGGCTTTGCTGCTTTCTCTGGAACTCGTGTGTCTGTTTATGATTTTCAACAGGTTCAAGCAGATATGGAGAAGTTGACTACTCTGGTGAGCAAGAAACTGGAGGAAATGGCCTCGGAACTGCTTTCTCTTAAAGGCCAAGTGCAGGCTCTGGCAGAATCTCAAGCAACCGGATTTGCAGGCGTGGAGGCAAAGCTTGCACAGGCTGAAGGCAAGTTTAGTGAAGGCAACAAGGAGATCTTGGAAACTATCAACAAAGTAGCCTTTGAGGAAGTCGAGGAAGACTCTATTGATCCCACAAATCCAACCCTTGATCCTACCAATGCAGCCTCTTAAATCCTTGATTGCACTTATTCTAATTTCATATGTTGAACAATTTTATTTTGGTCTTGTTTAATCTCTCTGAACTTTGGTTTGTACGCCTTTATCCTTTGCTACATTCTCTATGTTCCTCTTCTATTTCCTAAATCGGAACTTGGCTCGTATTTTTCATATGATTGTGTGTGTTTGCTGATAATTTGGTACCTAACTTATTTTTGCCTTGCATTATTTGAGCTCACTATTCCCTACGTAGTCTAGTGGGAGTATAGCAAAATGTTTTTTTTCAATCTTTTGATAATGCCAAAAGGGGGAAAAGACAAACTTCATGGCGGCTAAAGTGTTTACCAAGGAACTCACACATCGAAGGTACAAACTTTTCTAAGTTAATAAAGTCCTAGTAATCTAAGTTTTTAAACTTTTTCTAAGATTTTAAAGTCTTTGTTAATTTTTTCTCTTTTGCTCAGTCTTTTTAAAATAAATACTTTTTAGCTTTTTTTTAAGTTCTTTAATTACTCTGTTTTTTTTTGTTTTCATGTCTTACTTTAAATTTCTGTTGCATGCCTGGATGATTTTATTTACTTAAGTTTGTCAATGTTTGTCATCATCAAAAAGGGGGAATTTGTTGAGCCTTTTGATTTTGATGGACAAATTGACAAACTCGACTAATGAATGTTTTGAGTCTTTGGTGAATAAAGGATTCAAGCAAAGTTCGTTCCGGAGTAGGAACTTGGATGCGGAGTAGCATTCTTTAAAAAGCCTCGTGCAAATCTCACGTTCTAGTTTTAATTGTGAGCACTCAATAATATAAAGTCGGAAAGGAACTCAATGACTTATGTTAAAGACTACTGGAATAAAAGTTAGTTTTAAAAGATAATTTCTTAAAGAAAAGATAATTTGTAAAAGTTTTAATAAAGATAATTATCGAAGATAATTATCTAGTTGTTTTAATAAATAATAAATTTATCTTTTCAAATAAAATCTTTTTAAACAAACTTTTGATAATCTTTTAAATAAAATATTTGATAAAGTTAGCAAGTGGTTTTTCTGTGAGAAAATCTTTTATACGGCTAATGGTTATCAAGTTGTTAGGATAGTGGTTTAATTAGATAAGGCTAGGAAACCTCTTCATGATCACAATCTGTCAAGATAACTCCACAAGTTGTTAGTGGGTTGTTGACATGTGGACGTGATTATGGTGGAGGTTAATGACTAAGCCTTCTCTATAAATACTCATGCAAACTATCTCAGAAAGATATAACTCTTGAGCATAAAAATTCCAGTAGCCATCTAATAACATAAAGAGAGTTATTTTCCTTCATATATTCTTGAGTGCAATAGGTATTTGTAATCACAGATTGTATTCAAGTACTTAGGGGTTGGGATTGTGAGTTTGTAAAGTGAGGTCAAGGAAGCTTCGTTGCTGAAGTCTTCTGTGAGAGTTGGGAACAAGTTCCTAATTTGTGGAACTTGTTAACGGGTTTGAATCTTCACTTGTAAAGAGTTTGATTACTTAGTGGAAATTTAGAAAAGCCTATATCTTCTCTCGTCACTATTTCATTTAGTTAAATTCCGCAAAAAGTTTTTAGATTTCACCTCAAATACAATTCACCCCCCCTCTTGTATTAGCCAGTTAGACTTTCACATCCTTTCGCCCCATCCCCATATGTTATCGAGTTCAAGGGGATAGACTCGCCGTTCCTTATAAGCATGCATCAAGTATCTATCTCCACCAGATACGAGATGATGATTTATAAACTAAACAATTTCACATTTGTAACTTAGACCTGTCCACTTCTGCCCCTAGCTATTCCACTTCTCCCTCCACTTGAACGGCTACTGTGGCTGTTATTCTGTTCTGAACTGAATTCTTGGCTTCCGAATGCCATCCTTTGGAACATTCTGATTTGTGCTGATTGCTCTCTTGAATCATATATCCCACTTTGGCCTGGTTTCATGCCATTCGATATATCTGATAGTTCGTTCATTGTATCCAATGCTCTTGCCACCTTATTTAGTTAACAAGGCAAAAATAAACAAAATCAGTTATCTAAGGAAAAAAAGTATCCTTTTTGGCATGTTTCCTTGAATCTTTACCTGGCTCATTTTTGGCCTCTTTACAGCCGAATGCCGTGCACATGCAGCTGCTGCTTCAATCATCCGAAACATCTCACCTCTATCATAGTTTCCTTGCAATCTTGGGTCAGCAAGTTCATCAAAGTTTTGGTTGTCCAACGCCTCAGTCATCAAAGGTCGAGCCTATATGGTCACATTCACATGTGAAGCAATTATTAGAACAGTGACTAAACGAAGAGGGATTTCTTACTACAAATTAGTACCCCAACTCACCCATTCAACTAAGCTCTCATCTCCTAGTGGCCTGGTTTCATCAACAGGCTTGCGTCCTGTTATAATCTCTAGAAGCACTACTCCGAATGAGAATACATCAGACTTTTCAGTCAACTTGCCACTCGATGCATATTCAGGTGCCATGTAGCTGCAAAGAAGCCATATATGACAAACAATTAGACATGTACAAAGCCGTAATATACTGCCAGATGATATTTGCAATGTTTCAGCTTATATATAGAGCAGAATATAGAGTAAAACTGGTCTTATGGAAACTACTGACTTGCTACCATGGCGAAAACAGAATAAACTGAAAAACTACCCACCCAAAAGTTCCCATGACACGAGTAGATACATGTGTGTTGCATTCCAACTCTTGTGCTATTTTTGCCAGCCCAAAGTCAGCTACCTGTTCGCATCAGTAAACCACTGTCAAAGACAAGGACTTTATTTGAACCAACAATTTGAGTATCAAAAGAGGCAAAATGTAAGAATATCAGCCTATGTTAATCTTAATTGATTAAATATGTAGTAAATACATTAGTGTAATTGTAAGTCACAGTGTTTCCTTTGAAATGTGACAGTCATTACACATGAAAGGGTGTACCTTAGCATCGAAGTTGTTGTCTATAAGGATGTTAGCAGTTTTAATATCCCTGTGAATGATCCTTGGATGACCTGGTGACAAAAGACAGGGAAAAATATAAGAGATTGCATTAGAAACATCAAGAATAAAGGTATAAGAACAAGTCAAAACAAAAAAAGATTTCCATGCATTACAATCTTCATGGAGATATGCAATTCCCTTAGCAGAACCACAAGCAACCCTGACTCGGAGGCTCCATGGCATAAATGGTTTATTAGAATCTGGAAAAGCCATAAGCAAGCAGATGTCAATTAACTGTCTTTACTTAAGAGATTGACGGAGTTAAGTATCAAACTGCAGACATGATTTTTAGTATCTTATTAGGTTCTGTGACGTTTTACCCACTACCTATGTATACTTGACATGCAGACAAGGAATGAGTGACAGTCAAGACACATTGGCATGTGTATTACATTTATAGAGCAAAGCGTCTCAATTCTTAATAATAAACTTACTGTGGAGGTGGTAATGAAGGGTGCCATTTGCAACAAATTCATAGACGAGCAATCTTTGAAAATCAGTGATGCAATAACCCACAAGAGAAACCAAATAGCGATGGTGCACACGGCTGATAATTTCAACCTCCGCTTTAAACTCACGATCTCCTTGCCCACTGTTATCTTTCAACTTTTTTATAGCTACTTCTGTGCCATCTTGCAAACAACCTTTATACACGCATCCAAATCCACCAGCCCCCAAAATATTTTGTGCAGCAAACCCATTCGAGGCAGCATGCAACTCCTCGTAAGAAAACCATGTTTTTGAGTTGCCTATTCCACCAGTATCTGGTGATGAATTTATATAATCACCACCACCACCATCACTTGGTTTCATAAAAGAGGTGCCTGGAAATACAAAGTAAGCTGTTCATTATGTATGCACATGCAGGCTAAAGCATACATAGTGTACGTTTTGGTTTCGAATTCATATTTTCAGTCAGGGGGTTGGGGGGTAAGGTATGGATGCTACTGATGATCAATACAGAGCAGTACACCAATTTTCAGGTTCATGTTTAATCAATACAGCACAGTACACCAATTTTCAGGTTCATGTTTTGACTAAGTTATAAACATAGGTGATATAATTGGGCAGGGGGTTTAAATTTGTATGTCAGTAATCATACAATTTCTTAAACCTCCATTATCAGGCTAATCAGCCACATGCAGTATCTGTATGAATGAAGTTGGTAAATTGCATAAACCAGATCAGGTTACCAGCTATAACAAGTGATTCATATTTGACTTAATGTTGGCAATTTGAAATTTTCTATGCAGCCAAGTTTATGATTTTAATCAGAATACAATTTTAAACATAACTACATAAGTGTTACCTGATGTTTGTGAAGAGGCATATGGGGATGGCAACATGTACACAGAATTATGTCGTATGTGTCTTTTTTTCCGCCTTCGCAAGCACACAATGGCCATAAAAAAGCCTATGATGAAAACAGCTGCCACAATCCCAATGGCTATTCCTGTCTTAACTGTTGCATCATTACCAGGAGAGGGACTAGCAGAGGAATTCACTGGAGAAATTGAGGCAGTACTTCCAGATTCTGTTGCTGGTCTTGGTACTGATCTAGAAGGCGTAGAAGAGTCACTTGGAGATACAGGTGGGGAAAGAGTGGACTCGGGTGGCACTGGAGGAGATGAAGAGTCCACAGGAGGAGGAGGAACAAAAGTATCTGGTGGAGAAGACTCTGAAGGTGAGCCAGGAGGAGCTGGGGGGGATGGAGAAGGTGGTGGTTGCAGAGCAACCGGGGGAGACTGTGCAGGAGTTACAATAGGAGGTGGGGAAGAGGCCGGTGGAGAAGAGTTAACAGGTGCGGATGAGGGCGGGGGAGAAGATGGTGGTGGAGACAAAGGCGGTGAGCCTGGTGCAGGGGGTGGTGAGCGTGGCGGTGTAGTGGCAACTGGTGGAGGGGAAGTTGGCGGCGATGGTGGTGGAGGATTATTGGCAGGAGGGGGAGCAGATGGAACAACATTCGGAGGTGATTCAACAGGTGGTAATAATTTTGTAAGGACAGGAGTTAGTGTAGTAGATGGAGGGCTTTCAGGTTGAGAATCTGGAGATGAAGCCATCTAATCTTTTCCTAGATTACTCCTTCCCTACAACATGTAAGCATGTAAATTCATACAAACATCCCAATTTTGCCTAACTTTACAAACCTCCAATATTCTCCTTCAAATTCCCACCAAAAATGCCAATTTTATGTGAAACCTAATGCACTGCAAATATCCAGAATTCTCATGCATTAATCAAATTGCCAAGATCCTCAAGAACCCTAATTTTTTTTTCCAAAAATTTAAAAATTCACTCAGCCACAAAAACTGAAAAAATTTTGCAGCAAGAAAGTCAATTCACTCAGCAAGAAATTCAATTCAACCAATTAAAAACCCTTTTTAATTCCCCTTAATTCAAATTCAATAATACAAAATCAACAAGATCAACCTTTTTTTTTCTTTTCTTTTTTTTTTTCTTCAAAGAAAAAACACAAAAATCCAATATTAGCAGAAATTGCTCAAAATGAGAAAAACCCGGATCACCAAACAGAGAATATTACCCCAAAATATAGCAAACCATAATCATAGGACAACACCCAGTTACCCACATTATAATTTTCCCAGAAGAACCCAATTTAACTGCATAAAACTAAACTCCCTAAAACAATAATAATTATAAAAAAAAAATTAAAAAAAAAAGAAGCCAACTTTAATTGAAAAAATAGCTCAAAGAACAAAATTAAGATACTCAGAAAAAAATACAAAAGAAATAATTACCTTGTTCTTTATTTAGAGGGTTTCTAAATAGAGAAAATGCAGAGTAAATACAGATGTATATTTTCACAATTCCCAATTGAAAGGAGCATTCTGAATGACAAAAATAAAATTGATTAGCCAAAATTAGCGCTAACAAACGTGGGAGCAACTTCATGAGTGTTAGGAGAGAGAAAATATAAATATAATTAGTTATTAATTAAGATAATGTTAGGACGATACAATATATGATTACATGATCATAGTATAAGAAAAATATATACATTACCCCGTCTTAGCTGGTGTAGGAATGTCTTCAAGTTGACGAAGATGATGATGATCAATTTCATCACCCATGTTCATGTGCTCTGTTCTTCCCATACTAAGACTTTGGTTTGTCAGCGCTTGAAATCAATTACAGGGTATAATGACTTATGAGTTTTGGCATAGATTGACTTAACGTGGTCTATTATACATTTGGGTGTACCACTCACACGACACTACATTCACATTGTTTTTTTGTTCAGTTTATTAGTCCATAACTCTGCTGCATACGTTATATACAAATGAATAAATCGAGCAAAAAATTGTGGTTGTCTGGTTGAATGGTACATCTAGATGTATATGAATATTGTCATGATTTTGCTCTACTTGGCTTTACGATTAACCAAATTACGTAATGCTATTATATACGTAGTATATATATTATTGTTGTTGTTATTGTTATTCATTATTTTTCATTTCCTTGTGTTGAGAAGAGTTTAAGTATGGATTCTAAATTCATTTCAGACTCAAAGAAATTTCATAGTATTGTCATATTCGTCGAGCATATGAGAAAGATTTTAAACTATCAAAATCAAAATATTGTGTTTTTTTAGCAATTACTCCGTAGCAAACAATGAGAATTGGGTAAAAAAAAACCAGGATAAGTATTACAGTGTGCAAATATTGGATACAGTAAAAACTTCGTATATTTTCTAATGTGTATAACTGTACACAATACATTCAAAGCACAGATGATAAGAAACTGCAAATGGCTCACAGGCAGCAAATACACGGCAACAAGTTTCAAGAGCGGTTTGCCTGGTGATCAAGCCTAAAATGATACATTATTATTGATTCAACAGAACACTATGCTACATTGCTACCAACATATCACCATTGCTCAAGTAAATATAAGATGTAAACAACCAACAGATGAAGCAATCCATCATAACTAATAGATATGCAGTTTAAACAGACCTGATATAACATAATTAGTGATAATAGTGGCCAAACCAACAATGACTTCCCATTCCAAGGTACCCATCTTCATCATCACCCCTGCTGTGAATCCACCAGAGAAGATTGGAGAGGGAGTTGCCATCATCGAAACCTTGCAAGTTTCTTATTTTCTCTAGGGCGCTCTCCTTATTGTATAGCCCTTCCAAAGTATAGACAAACCCCTTCCATCCTTCTCCCACTCCGTCCCTTTCTAAAGCCGGCAATGTCCAGTTCACAAGATCTTTCACAAAGCTCACATCAGGAAACAAAGCCTCAGTAATAGGCAGTATTGGAAGGACTTGAATTCCGAGTCTACATTCCTTCCATGCGGGTGGTGCAAACCAAAGTCCACTGTCCCTCTTATTAGCCCACAGAACACCCACCACCTTATTCTCACTGCAAAAGATGTCCTCATATATTCCCTCTCCTTCTCTTACATGCCACCATGTTTGCGCTGCTTGCATCTCCATTGCTACAAGAGATGAACCAACAGAAACAAGATGGGCATCCCCATAAGCCAACCCCATCAAAGCTGCAGAATAGTAGGCATTCACTGCCTCACTTGTGCTTTCCTGATTCCTCCCATCAGCAAATTCTGTCAGCCCACCAGCCCAAGAATGCAGCTTATACAAGTCAAAACATCTCAAACGAGTATATTGCGAATTTGCTCGTCTACTCAAACTCATAAAATCAGCCATCATTGAATAAGCCTGAGGCCTGTACTTCCTCCCCCAAGCAGGATCAATCTTAGCAAGAACAGCAATTCCATAAATAAAGTACCCCAAATGGTAATGATGATCATTAAAAATTCCAAACCCGAAATCAGCCCCAGAATCATTTGACCCTTGTTTAGTAACCATTCCACCCCATTTTCCATCATACAAAAACCCATTCCCATTAAAAGTCCCATCTAACCAAGGCTCAATTGTTTCCTTCAAGTACTTCCTAACCACAGGAATTGCATCAGGATAACAAACTTCCTCAGCAATCAAAGCCATTCTAGCAGCTCGAGCAACCAACTTCCCATAAAAATACGAGGAAGTTGTCGAAATTGAGCTCGAATTCAAACCCTTAACATCATTGGAAAGAGCTGAGATAATCTCATCATATGACTCCTCCTTAACACCATTAATTGAATGCCAAGTAACCGATACTGGTTGAGTCCTCATCAACCAGGAATCCCCAACAACACCAACAAGATCACCATCAATACTTTTATACTTCAAATCATCCAAAACAACAACATTATCCCTATTTAACAACTTAAGATGCAAAGGATGAGCAAGCATTAACAAATCACCCCTCCCTCTTTTTTCCCATCTATAATTCACACAAAATGGTTCATTCAACACAGCATCACCACTAACAGGATAACAAGAACTAAACCTATCAAGAATCGACTCGAATTTCGGGTTCGAATCGGGTAAAGCCGCAAACCGGATAATACCCGAAAACGAATCAGAAACAATATTAGACAAATCATGGGTTAGGTTAATAGGTGAAGAAGAGTAAATTGCCCAAGTTTGATTATTATTAAGCTTAACAATAAACTTAGTATTAGAATTATACGAATTAAACGATAAAATCGCATGAATTGTGGAGAATTTAAGAGATATACCTCCTGAAACAGAACAAGTAACAAAAGGGCTTCCTCGAACAAGGAAAAACCGGAGATTTGAAGAGGGGAAATCCACAGTTACACTAAGATCACTAAACGATGAAATTTTATGTGGGGTATTTGAATCTGGGTTATTTGCTGCAGAAACTGTGAAATCAGCGTTGAAAACCTGGTAAATGAAGGAATTGTTGGCGAATCGAGAAGGGTATGAGAGAGAAAGTGAGGAGAGAGAAAGACGGATGAGGTAAGGGTGGATGTATTCAGATTGATCGCCATTTTTGAGGACGAAGTTTTGGAAGAAAGAGTTTGTGGGAAGAGGGGAGGAGAGAAGTTCAGGGGAGAAGAAAGTGGAAGGGTCTGGAAGAACAGAGGACTCTGTTTTTGGGAATAGAAATGGTTGATTTCTGTGATGAACCGCCATTGTTGAAGATGACGAAGTTTGTACGGGTTGTACGGGTTGTTGAGGAGGAACGGGAAAGAAAAAGGGAGGTGGTGCAAATGAAAATGATGATTTTGGGGGGTTTTTAAAGGGTTTGGTGATCATTGATTTTATCTTCCTTGAAGCTTTCTTAAGTACCATGTGGGAATTGTTTATAGGTTTCGGTCTGATAGGACGTCTTTTGTTTATCGATAAAAAAATACAAAGTAAATGATTAGGTGTTACTTAAGTGGTAAGAGATGGAAAAATGGGAAGTTGATCCAACAATTGAGGGAAGTTTCTATCTTTGTATTATAGGGGTGGAGGGAGAGAATGAAAATGGCATGATTGAAAGAAGGTTGGATTCCAAGGTATGTGGGGAGAATGATAGAGTTTGATCATGGGAATGTTGATGTGATATGTGTGTATTTGTGGAATCATGTAAAGGGTGTTTTACTTTTGAGAGTTTGAAAGTGTGAAGCAAGGGATGGGGGGAATAAGTGAAATACCTTGGAAGCAATGTTAAGGGATTGGATATTCTTGTAGTATGGTTAAGGTTGACATTTAGCTTAGGATTCATATGATGACTTACCATTGGGCTTTTTACATTAGGTTTAAGTAATAATTTGGAATATTTTATTTCTTACAAATAATACCCTAAAGTTACACATAACAATTAACGGATGTAGTATAATGTAGCAAATCCATATTTTTTAATATCTATATTGCTACTAGTAATAAAAATGAACATTTGGACTATATTCAACCACCCGAAAGGCTCCAAGGAAATCGGTGTCCCCTGCACACTGGTTGGCTGGAAAGGCTTGTGTTCGGGAGTGTCTTTTTTTGTCCTTTTAAGTTGCTTGTTTTTTTATTTTCTTTCTTTATTCTCAATGTCAAAAAAAAAAAAAAAAACACCCGAAAAGGGTTATAAATTGGGATGGGAGAAGGCTGAGGAGGAGGGATTGGTGGTGGTTGATAGTGAAGGGTAGGGGTGGATTAATTGATGAGGCGATGGCAGTATGGTTGTGGTCTTCAATTGTTGAACTGTTGAGCTACAAGCCTACAAAGCTAGGGAAGTAGGAAGAATAAGAGATAGTGTGCGATGGCTTAGGGTCGAAATTATGGATGGTGGGTGGAATATAATTCAAATTATGAAATATGTCATGAGCGTATTTTAAATTTGCAATCAAATTATCTACTTAAAATTTTATAAGATGTTATCTAAGAGATTAAATGTTGTAAAATTTATATCACTTTTTATGCCCCAATTAACATAAATTAAGAAAGAAAGACATTATACATAGCTATTAGAGATGGAAAAGTATTGTGTAGAACGAATTCACGTGAGTCCGGTCATACAAACAATAAAAAAAATAAAATTCTTAATTGTCAGAATTTAGATAATAATGGTCATATATTAACTTATAAATATCAGATATTAGATTAAAAGTGTCAGGAATTAGATAAGTAGATAACAATGGTTGGATATGAGATTATAATTATCCTAGATTATATTATAAGTGTTAGATATTAGGTTTTAATTGTGAGAAATTAGATTATAATAATAATTATCAGATTTTAGATTAAAAGTGTCAGAAACCAGATTATTATAGTTAGATATTAGACAAAATTGATCAGAATATTTGAAAGAGGGGAACTCAAAGATCGAACTCCACCAACTTCCCTTGATCATCGGAAAATATATGTGTGATATATTTTCCGTATATATCATTTAAGAGAATAATATATTTAGGTTTATTTTATGTTAAGATATATTATTATCCTAAATATAATATCATAACATCTATATGGAAAATATATCACAATAATATATTTTCCTATATTCCTAACATTATCTGATCCTTGTTTCTCTCACCTCTCTCTCTTATATGATTATCTGAGCTCTACAACAATGGCGATCAAGAGAGTCCACCAACAATCGCTGCTCAGCATAAGTACGTTCTCTATCATTCATTGTTCTTCATCAATGTAATCCTAAATTAATGAATTTGAGTAATTGAAATCCTAAATTCAAACTGGGTCCATCAATTTATGACAATGACGTCATTGTCAAATATTTTAGCACCACCGGGGGAATATTGAGGTGGTGGTTTAGGGGGAAGAGGGACGGTGATGGGAGTGGGTAGGTCGAAAATGCGGTATCATCACCGGCGTGGAGGAGGGGTGGCTGATTCTGGGTTTTGCGTAGCCGCAGGTGTTGCGGTTTGTGATAAGGGGGCGCTATAAACTAGACTCATGTGAAACAGACTCACGTAAAACCTTCTGATTAGAGATATATAAAAAAAAGTCAAAAATGAAAAGAAAAAAAAAACACAATAAATTAGGAAGTACATAAAATGTTAATCCAATATTGGATGAAACTTCTTGGAAATATTCCAACATTTGACATAGGAAACCCTTCTTACTAAGTATACTTAATTGATAATCCATTGCACTTCGGTTTGTTCAACTACTCGTACTACTATTTTAAGTTAATGCCAAATTGTTAGTTGTCAATGCTTAAACTTTAGTCCTTGTGGCCATTGGCAACTAGGATGACTTAATACATACTCGTAAACTGTTTCATACTCATATATAAGTCCTAGTAGTTATATCAAATGTTTTTTAATGCTTGGCCATGCTCTTATACAAGTATGAAAACAATCAATATATTAAATCTGTTATAAACGGAACTGCGGGAACAAAAACAGTAAGAACAAAGTTACCGAAAAATAGACTGAGTCGCGGACTATGTCGCTTTCTTTAGAACATTCACGGCACTGCCCTGAAATGGTGCAAGCAGTTCGTACTAAACCGGATGTTCCCCAGGATAAAACAGCCTTTCTCTATTGAAATTATACCGGTGGAACTGCACAAAACCACCGGGCAACTAAACACCCAAAAAGAAAAGAAACTGCTCGAGGGTTTTGTTTTTGTGAGGAAAAATAGAGAGGAGAAGAAGATTGCTGTTCGTATTTTTTTGTGTATCAAAAACAGGAAATCAACACGCCTTTTATAGGAAAAATTGCAACGTAACTGCTGCTGTTTAATTAGGCACTAATCACGCAATTAAAACGGTCATAAGTTGAACGTTCAAAACGGTTACAGAAGATTAATGCGTGGCAAAACGTTTAGCAAAAAATCAGGTAAAACGTTTGCATGATTAACGCTCCATTAATCAGTTTTGAATAAAAACGGTCAAATGCAATCAGTCAAAAACGTTTAGCAAAAATCAAGGAACTAATCACGCAATTAGCCTTGTCCAAAAAATAAGTTTATTTAATAAACCCGACCCGACCCAACCCAACCCGGCCCGGCCCGCGTGTGTGTGATAGATGGTTTACCATATAGGTCCTCCCTCTCCACAAAATGTGGGTAGCCCAAGGGCCACACCCCTTTAGCCCACTCTCTATATTATAAAGAGAGTAAAACTCTCATTTCCCACCAATGTGGGACTTTGAGTTTTTTCACAAAATTCACACACTACACACTACACACTTGTTGTTCCAACAAAATCTACTTGTCAAAAAAAAAAAAAAAAAAAAAAAAAAAGTCATCCTTGGTTCCCAATGGCCAGAAGCCCTAATTTTTTTTTTTTTTTTTTTTTTTTTTGACAAAGTTTACGCTAGAGAAAACTAAAAACGTAAATGAATAAAATGACAACAACGAGCTAAACTAGCCAAACGATCAACATTGTTGCAAAACATTGCAATTGAAAATAAACAAAGGAAGTACTTTGTACATTATTATTTTATTTTATTTTTTGTTGGTAAGGAGAAGAGTCCTATCGGGTCGGAACCTCTCACATGTCCTTCCGACTCGAGTTACAGGGCTAGACACTTTGAAAGTGGGGGGAATGGGTAAGGGAATCCCCAAACCAAAGTGCCTCTAGTGGAGTTTGATCCCACAACTCATGGTTGTGAGATGCAAACCTTACCACTAGACCAAACATAGCTTAGTACTTTATATATTAGTATGGGTACGACTGTGATGTATAAAAATTCATTATACCCATATACAAGTACGGGATACAAATTAAAATCGGATTAGAATATTAGATAATATATAGTTGTGCGGCTAAAGACCAAAACGATCCAATACCATAGTGACTGAACCACGTAGCCTAAACAATCGAACCAAAAACACATGACTTGAATTGTCCTAACAACAAATTCAACTGTCACTGAATTTCACCAACAATACAACATCTTAAGAGAGAAACAGACACACACTGAGAGATGGCGGGACTGCTAGCATGGGCAGCCGATGTAGTAGGCGCAAATGAAAGTGGTTCCGATGTTTCCGACGACCCCAGTTCGATTCCCCTCATTCTAACCCCTCAACAGCAGCAGTATCTCAATGAATTGAACCAGAAATCAACTTCTCTCACTCGTTCGATCCAAGATCTACGGATTAGACTCCCTCCCTCTGACATCGCTCAACGTCTTCCTCATCTTCATGCTCATTCTCTTGCTTCCAATGCTGCTCTTACTCTTCAATTAAACTCCCATTCTTTCACTCGTGAACAGGTAATTTCTTCGATTTTTCCCTTTTATTTGATGATTTGAAATTGTTGTATTGCTTACTTTTTGTGTGGGGGTGCTTGTTTTTGGGTTAATTGTTTGATTAAATTTCTGGGTATTTGATTTTTGGTTGTTAATTGTGTTTTTTCGTGGGAAGTTTTGATTTTTTTTTTCCTAGGGGTTTTAGTTTAATCACGCAATTAGCCTTGTCCAAAAAATAAGTTTATTTAATAAACCCGACCCGACCCAACCCAACCCAACCCGGCCCGGCCCGGCTCGGCTCGGTTCGGTTCGGCGCGCGTGTGTGTGATAGATGGTTTACCATATAGGTCCTCCCTCTCCACAAAATGTGGGTAGCCCAAGGGCCACACCCCTTTAGCCCACTCTCTATATTATAAAGAGAGTAAAACTCTCATTTCCCACCAATGTGGGACTTTGAGTTTTTTCACAAAATTCACACACTACACACTACACACTTGTTGTTCCAACAATCCCCCACTTGAATTTTTTGAAAACATTTTCGAGCAGAATCCATACATATATAGGTTGCGCATAAACAGAAGTGTTTTTCAACTTGAACTTCGACGTAGTGAGTACGATTCAGATTCAACAAGGGTGACTCGAAGTTTTGAACCCTATCTCTGACAACGTACCCCACACAACCTACTCTTGGTGTTGTTCTAGACCCGTGCTATTTCGGCCATGCACGTCTATCCCAGTGTAGTGAATGCTCTAGAAATGCTGCCACACATTTCATAGGAAGCGGCCTAACTTCCACATTCACATAGGTGAATCTATCAAGAGTACTCCTGTAGCTTGGTACTCCACTCCAAATTGGAGTATAGATTTCATTAAGAGTTCCTATTAACTCATCCTTGATCGCTTCA